TCCCTGGCGCCTGCTGGCGCGGTGGAGGGGTTGGCTGCCGCACACCCGCCGGGGCGCGGCTGGCCGTGCGACCTGGGCCCCACCGAGCGGCAGCGGCGGCAGGAGCGGATCGCCCAGAGAGGGGTGGGGCCTTACACGCGCAGTCATCGTGCTACAGTCGAACATCCTCCTTCTCACCATCCTCCTCTTCCTCCTCCTCCTCCTCCTCCTCCTCCTCATCTTCTTATACATCATCATCATCTTCATCATCTCAGCATCATCATCAAATCATCATTCATCACATCATCACATCACACATCACCATCATCATCATCATCGTCGTCATCATCATCATCACAATCATCATCATCACATCATACTTCATCAGCAGCAGCAAGCATCAGTATCAGCATCATCAGAGTCAAACATCCATAAGCCGCAGCACCACAACAGCGCAACAGCATCATCACATCGTCATCATCATAACCATCACCATAACCATCACCATCCACCATCATCATCATCATCCATCATCATCATCATCTTTCATCATCATCATCATCATCATCATCATCATCATCATCATCATCATCATCATCATCATCATCATCATCATCATCATCCCGCCTCATCCCTCCTCATCCCTCCTCCTCCTCCTCCTCCTCCTCCTGCTCCTCCTCCCTCCTCTTCCCTTCGCTCCTCCTCCTCCTCCTCCTCCCTCCTCCCTCCTCCTTCTCCTCCTCCTCCTCCTCCTCTTCTTCTTTCTCCTCCTCCCTCCTGCTCCTCCTCCTCATCCTCGAGAAGACAGAAGCGCGGACAGGTCCTTGCTGTTCTCGGACTCTGGGGTAGGGGAAAACGATACGGCTGGATCTAGCCCAGAAGACCATCCTCCAAGAACCTGAGACCCTCCGTCGGCCAAAACCAATAGAACACGCAAGGGTACCCCCCCCCCCGAGGATGCACAAGAACATCCAACAAGCACGAAGACCAGTAGGGTACCCTCCCCAAGCCGAACTCGATCTTACACCTCGGTCCGACTGTACACATGCAGCCATCGTGCCACCATGAGGAACGCCGGTGACGGAACGCGTCGCCCCCAAAAAGCAGCGCCTGTCATGTATTACTGCGGATTCAGTGCGGACGGCGCGGACCCAAAACGGTGCATTAGCTCATCCTGCGCGGCGCAGTGCGAAGTGATGCGAAGTGGCCATGGGGAGGGGGAGGGCACGTGAGCAGAGCTCTATGGGGCACAGAGATGCCCGCGACACGCAGTGCGCGGTGCATGGGCAGGGGTGCAGTCCGTGGGAGGGCCCCTGCAGCCATCGTGCTGCCGCACGGAGCGTTGAGAAGAGGAACGGGGGGATGTCTCTGGCCACGGCGAGCCTCCGCCACGAAGGGGATCCCCCACCCAGGCCCCAGGAGCGGCCTGCACACCAGAGCCCCTCCCGATCCCAACGTGATCCTTCTGTCGGTGCCTCGAGTGTGACCCGGGGTGGGAGGCACTGCACGTAAAAGACGAAGCCAGGACGAGGAAACATCGGGTGAAGAGATAAATATATATATATATATATATATACACATCTATATATCTACATATCGAATACATATATACATATCGAATACATATATATATATATATATAGGACGAGAATATCTGAGATCCGACGGCTCTGGAGGATGTCTCGGGCGCCGCGACCTTCTCAGAGCGTTCCAGGACGCTTTGAGAGCAAGCCAGTGTACCCTCGTCCTAGACCCGTCCTAACTCGGCGGCGAGCGAGGGGGGGACACGAGAAGGGGCGGGCTTTCTCAGAAGGCTCGGAAGTCCCTCGGGCTTCTGAAAAGTCTTCTAAGCCTTCCCCGAAGACGCAGAAAACCCCCTCAGAAGGCGCGAGGGTTTCTGCAGCCGCAGCCGCAGCCGCGCAGCCGCAGCCGCGCAGCAGCCGAATATTGCAAATAGTTGTTCGAACGCAGCTCGATGCTGCTGAACCTATAAATCAATATACAACCTCTGTAGCTGCTCGATATCTCGAGATCAGGTCGAGAAACCGAGCACGTGCCGCCTTCTGAGAAGCCCCTCTCCTTCACATTTCCCCCCCTTGCTCGCCCGCCGCCGACTCAGGCAAGGCCTCATTGAGGAATGGCGAGGGTGAAGAAAAGAAGGCGGAGGGGGGAGGAGGAGGGAGGGAGGGAGGGAGGAGGGAGGGAGGAGGAGGGGAGGAGGAGGAGGAGGAGGATGTTTTTGTTTGAACTCTACGCCCGCGCCTCCAGACGCCAGGGAGAGCCCCAGCGACAGCGACTGCAACGGAGTGAGGTGCCTTAAGAGGAGGAGGGCGAGGGGGAGGAGGAAGAGGAGGAAGAGCCCTCCTCGTTTCCAGTCGACATTGGCTCAATCAGCGCCTCACGCACCCTTGAGGACACGTTGGGAAGTTCGTGAGTGGTACCTCCATTTCCTTCTCCTCCTCCTCCCCCTCCTCCTCCTCCTCCTTTTCCTCTTCCTCCTCCTCCTCCTCCTCCTCCTCCTCCTCCTCCTCCTCCTCCTCCTCCTCCTCCTCCTCCCCTCGCTCGCCGCCGACGAACGTATCCAGGGGCTGAGACCGCCCATGCTTTCGACGAGGCTCCCCGGCGAGTGCGTGCCACGCCCGCCCCTCGATGTCCGCCCCTGCCGCCTCCGCCGAGTTGCCATCCCTCGGGCGTCCATTCCCCGTGCGTCGCTCGGTTTCCTATTTTTTGGTTCCGCGAGATGGTCCAAAATGCTCTTCGATGGTCCTCGCCGGGGGCAAAACATGTACACGTCCGGGCGATACCTCCGCCGAGGGCCCCCGTCTCTCGCCCTTGGCCTCGGGCCGCCTCCTCCACCTCCACATCATCATCATCATCATCATCATCATCATCATCATCATCATCATCATCATCATCATCATCATCATCATCATCATCATCATCATCCTCATCCTCATCCTCATCCTCATCCTCATCCTCATCATCATCATCATCATCATCATCACTACCACCACCAGCATCATCATCATCATCATCATCCTCATCATCCTCATCATCCTCATCATCCTCATCATCATCAGCTTCATCATCATCATCGTCATCATCATCAACATCATCATGATCCTCATCATCATCATCAACATCATCATCACCACCACCATTATCATCATCACCATCATCATCAACATTATCATCATCACAATCAGCATCCGCATCATCAGCATCATCATTGTCATCACCACCATCACCATCATCGCCATCATCAGCATCATCATCACCATCCTCACGATTATCATCACTATCATCGTCATCATCATCATGATCATTAGCATCATCATAATCATCGTGGTCATCATCATCACCACCAACATCATCATGTTGATTCAAACAAGCATCAGCATTATCATCCTCATCCTCCTTATCCTCCTCCTCATCATCATCTTCATTATCATCAGAACCAGCATCGTCATCATTATCGTCATCATCGTCATCATCATCATCATCATCATTATCATCCTCATCATCATCACCATCATCATCATCATCCTCATCATCATGATCATTAGCATCAACATCATCATCATCAGCATCATCATCATCGTCATCATCATCAGCATCATCATCATCAGCATCATCATCAGAAGCATGACCCTGATCATGATCCTCATCATCAGAATCATCATTATGATCATCAGCATCATCATCAGCATCACCACCATCATCATCACCAGCATCAGCTTCATCATTATCAGCATCTGCAACATCATAATCGTTCTCCACTTCTTCCTCACCATCATCATCAGCCGCATCCTCCTCATCCTCGTCAGCGTCGTCATCATTATTATCGCCAGCCTGTTCCTCCTCATCATTATCATCATAGATATTTTCATCACCCACACCGTCACCAACATAATCATCATCAGCAGCAGCCTAATCATCATCATCATCATCATCATCATCATCATCATCATCATCATCATCATCATCATCATCATCATCATCATCATCATCATCATCATCGGCATCATCGGCATCATCATCAACATCATCATCATCATGTTCATCATCACCCTCCTCATCCTCATCCTTATCCTCACCATCATCAGCATCATCATCATCAGTATCATCCTCCTCCGCAGCATCACCATCCTCATCTTCATCCGCATCGGATCCTCATCCTCATCCTCACCATCTTCATCTTCATCCGCATCGGATCCTCATCATCATCCTCATCCTCATCCTCATCCTCATCCTCCTTCTCCTCCTCATCATCATCATCTAGCCCTCCTGCATGCTTCCTCGTGTCACGGCGTCTGCAATAGGTGGGGAGGAAGAATTGAGCAATACTGCTGGTGGGCTTGCTGCAGGACGCCGCGATGTCACTGGCACCACGAATGAAGAGGAACGAGAGGGGGGAAGAGGGGGAGGGGGAAGAAACGGTTTCGCTGAATCTAATTTGACCCAAGAAGTGCATGCTGTGACTTGACCATGTCTCCCGGGTCAGGCCGTGTCTCCAGCAGATCTCATGGGGAGACCCATCCTTCTGATACAGCTGCGGCAGCCACGAATCTCCGAGCCAACCTGAAGTCCGCTCAAAGTCGGTCCCCGGATCTCTCCAGGGGTCGAAACCGACCAGTTGTTCGAAGCGCGTCCAGTCGTGGCGACGAGGCGGGCTGGTCCCCCCTCCTCTCTGCAGGCCGGAACCAGTCCAGATCGACTGCCTCCCGCTCGTGCCTCGTCGCCACGCCCGGCATGCAGGCATTGGCGGCTCGGAGTCGCGAGAAGGAGGTGGCAGCGAAGGCTGCCGCAATCGATCCCGCCGGAGGGCGGCACTGTTCTTCGTTCTGCCTCGTGGGCCTTCGAGGAAAAAGCCGGGCCCCTTCAGCCCCCCCAGTCAGCTCCAATGCTCCTGTTGACGACCCCCCGAGGGGTTGGTGGACCCCGGGCAGCCGCGCCGCGTCGAAGTCCCAGCCGGGAGCCCAGCTCGCTCGCTCGGAATCCCAGGGCAGCTGGCCGGACGAGGGGCCCGACTGTGGCAGCCCGGCGGCGCCGCCAAAGCGGGCAAGCCTGCGGCAGGAGGAGGAGGGGAGGGAGGAGGGAGAAGGGAGGAGGGAGAAGGGACGAAGGAGGGAGGGAGGGAGGGAGGGAAGGGAGGGAGGGGAGGGGAGGAAGGAGGGGTGGGGAGGGAGGGGAGGAGCGAGGGAGGGAGGAGGAGGAGGAAGGGAGGAAGGGGAGTGGAGGGAGGAGGAGGAGGCGGAGGAGGAGGAGGAGGAGGACAAGGAGGAGGGGGCGGAGGAGGAGGAGGAGGAGGAGGGAGAAGGGAGGATGAGGAGAGGGAGAAGGAGGGGAGGAGGAGGAGAAGGGAGGAGGGCGGAGGAAGAGGAGGAGGAGGGGGACGAAGAGAAGGAGGAGGAGGAGGAGGAGGGGGAGGAGGAGGAGGAGGAGGGGGTGGAGGAAGGGGAGGACGAGGAGGAGGAAGAGGAGGAGAAGGAGGGAGGAGGAGGAGGAGGAGGAGGAGGAGGAGGAGGAGAAGGAGGAGGAGGAGGAGGAGGAGGAGGGAGGAGGGGTGAGAAGGGAGGAGGGAGGAGGGGGAGGGAGGAGGAGGAAGTGTAAACCCATGTTGGAAGAAGCGCTCCCTCCATGTTCCCCTGTGCATATGCTCCATTTGAACAATCGTCTGAGAGCGCTCAATCGAACCAACACATCATACGTGGGACTTGACCTCGGCGCGAATCAAAGTGACGGTTGCGTCCGGACAAAACCGTGCCAGAGCACCATTCCCTGCTCCTCTAAACTATTGCACACGTTTAAGACGAATGGGCGCTGCTGCAAACTGTTAAGACGAATGCGCGCGTCGCAAAAGCGAGCGCTACATTTCAAAACGGCACGCCTCCATCCTTAAAACAACTACAAACACTTAAGCGATAACCATGCCTAGGAAAAACAACGCATGTCCTTCATCCTTGAAGCTGTTGCAACTTTCAAGCTTCAGGATCATCAATGGTGTGGAAGTTTCAAGCGAAACGCCCAGCCCGCCCTACCGACACGTCTGCGGCGCGACAGAGAGAACATACTCATGAGGGAAAGGAGGGGAGGAGCAGGAGGAGTGGAAGGATCAGGACAAGGAGAAGCAGGATGGTTATTTGAGCCAAGACTGTTTGGTTGGCCTTCCCGTGGGTGCCCATATGACCCCACTCCTCCCGTTGTTCTTCTCATGCGGGGCCTCGGGCCCTGGGCGTCGTCCTTATGGAAGCGACCTCAGTCCTCATCGGTGCGCTTTCCCAGGCGCCCTCCTCCTCCTCCTCCTCCTCCTCCTCCAACTCCTCCTCCCCTTCCTCCTCCTCCTCCTTCTCCAGCTCCTCTTCCTTCTCCTCCTCCTCCTCCTGCTCCTCCTCCTGCTCCTCTTCCTTATCCTGCTCCGCCTCCTCCTCCTCTTCCTTCTCATTCTCCTCCTCCTCCTGCTCCTCCTCCTCCTCCTCCTCCTCCTCCTCCCCCTCTTCCTTCATTATTCTCCTCCTCCTCCTCCTCCTCGTCCTCCTTATCATGCTTCTCCTCCTCCTCCTTCCCCTTCTCCTCATCTTTCTCCGCCTCTTCCTCCTACAGCTTCTCCTCCGCCACAACAGAAGTCGAACCCACCCCCAGACGGTGGTTCATATGAAACGCACATCGTGCGAGGCTCGTACACCGCCCTCAGCTGCAGGTGTGCTCAACCGCATGCCATGATGATCTAATCAAAAACAAGCTGGCACTGGCGAACACATGCATCTTACAATAAGCCAGGCCATCGACCAACGATTTCATCAAACTACGGTTTGAGCACCTCCCCACGCCCAAGGTATCAATGCGAACACGGTTTACAATAAGTCCAAAGCCTCACCCCGAAAGCAGTGTGTGTTTTAGCTGACCGAGCCTTACTCTCTTCACGAATACAGCCAGCGTGGACCTGAAACTGTTATGGGCAGAAGTCTTTGGAGGGGCGCAGAGACATCCGCAACACGCAACACGCAATGCACGGGCAGGAGTGGAGTCCGTGGGAGGCAAGAGACGCCATCCTTACAACCATCGTGCAATCTTGACAACCATCGTGGGCAGGGGGGCACTGCGTGGGAGCAACGCGTGGGCAAGAACACAAGCCTTACAACCATCGTGCTGCCATGAAGGGCGCCAAAGATGGAGCGAAGGGGCTCTCCCGGCCACGGCGAACCCCAGCCATGAATAGGGCCCTGGCCCAAATACAACGAACGGTCCGAAGACTGCAGCCCTATTATAAGTTCTGATTCGTCTCCATGTTCTTCCTCGTATTCGTATGGTTCGTCTACCCCATCCACCTCTTGATTTTCCCAACTCCTGCCACCTCCTCCTCCTCCTGCCACCTCCTGCCACCTCCTCCTCCTCCTCCTTCCTCCTCTCCTCCTCTTCCTCCTCCTCCTCCTCCTCCTCCTCTTCCTCCTCCTCCCTCCCTCCTCCTCC